ATCATCTACGATAGTGTAACAGTAGCTCTTCTTCGCTGACTCTTTTGCTACTCATTCGTTTACTAAGAAGGAAATTGGTTTATTTCACTACTAGCCTAATCGCCTAATCGCCTGCTCGCCTAATCGCCTAATCGCCTAATCGATACGTATGCTTTTCGTTTCAAAACACCGCCTAATCGCTTAATCGCATGTACGATCGCTAACTCTGAACTCTGCCTTATCGCCTTCGGCAAAATAGATGTTGCAAGAATGACGGCTCTACTTCTAGCTTATGGAGCGTTCATAGTTGGCGATCGTACGTGCGATTAGGCGATTAGGCGAGTAGGCGAGTAGTCGATTAGGCGAGTAGGCGAGTAGGCGATAAGAGAAGGATACGTATTGATTTGCTCCGCCCATTGAGCGATCGCCTAATCGCCTAATCGCCTACTCGCCTACTCGCCTACTCGCCTAATCGCCTAATCGCCTAATCTATACGTATATTTTTCATTATAGACTAATCGCCTAATCGCCTATCGCCTGAATCGCACGTACGATCGCCAACTATGAACGCTCCATTAGCTCTAGTAGAGCGGTTCGTGCAAAACTGACAGCTGCAATGTGATAACTGATGTTCTATCAACACTATTTAAGCGGCCTCCTCCATGGTCTTATTCATTCTACTCACAAACCAGCGACGAAACAGTCGCCTACTCGAAGAATTCCACATCAGCCGGGTCCTGGAACTCTTGGAAGACGATGAAGATCGCACTGAACACATGCAGTAGTGCTCTTGCAGTGAAGTCAAAGAAGAAGAAGAAAATTGGATCCAGAGAAACCGTAAGCATCCCTTCCAATTGATAAGGTTTTTTGTGTAAAGTTCGTTAGTTCAGGAACTCCTCGCTGAATTCAAAAATTATAAGCGACCCTCGGGAATGACGGAATCGGTAAGAAAACAGGTTTTAAAGCCTAGAGTTGTCGACTAAGCCCTGTTCGAATTCCAGATGGCCCGTATATTAGAGGATATCATCCGGAAGATTTTCACAAGCTCTCCCACCGCCTCGCATGAAAAGCTGTTGAATTTCCAAGAAATGCGAGAATTGTGCTTACGGACACGAGAACTGCTTCTTATCGAGCCCTGCTTTGTGGAGTACGTCTACTAGGAGTGTCCAGTTCTTTGTATATTTTGAACAAAATACGAAATCGTTCAGAGTTTCTCCACCTCTGTTCATTATCGGCGATGTTCACGGACAACTGTACGACTTGCTCGATATTCTGAACTATGTCAGTTCATATACCACTCCTAGCTTCGTGAACTTCAACTTGGCGATCAGCTCGCCCGAAGGGGGAGGGGAGGGGTATGTACGAGTTTTGCACATGGTAGGCGCGTAGTAGGGGTAAAGACAGTTACCCGACGCCGCGACGCTAGTTTCTTCATTTTTAGGCAGTTCGGATAGCCTGTGTACTTCCAGGCCCTTAAAACTCAGTGTGGGAGGAAAAGAACTTCGGAAGATATCAGAAAATGTTTACTCACTCTGGAATCCCTCCCTCACCATGGATATTCCTCTCGGCGCTCATGTCGATGGAGGGGAGGGGGGAGCATTAAAGTAAGTGAGCCACTTACAGTACTTAGAACTCACGCCTCTGCAGAGATGTAAGGGCTCTGGTAACGCGAATAAACGAGCTCTGAACTAGGGGTTTTAAAAAGCGCTATTTGAAACCACGCCCATAAAAAAGGGAATGTCCAAAAATTTTTCTTGGACATGGTGGTGCATCATACTAGCACTGATTAACCAAGATAGGTTACCGGCTCCTCAGAAGGACTTACATTCCTATGGTGATTCGTGGACAGAGGAGACTACAGCTTGGAGACCATCACCATGTTGCTTGCTTTCAAGGTATTCCTTAGTATTTTTATAGAGATCATACAAAGGACATGAAGACTATATAGAGTCATGTTATTGCAGCTGAGATTCCCCAAGGAGATCTATTTACTTCGCGGAAATCACGAGACCAGATGTGTGAACAGACAGTACGGCTTCTACGACGAATGCAAGAAGAAATTTCCACGAAAAGGTCTGTGCATGCACGCATACTGCCACAGAAACACTAGCGCATGAGAGAGCTTTCTGTGGAGCCATTTGTGCTTGTGTTGCGTACTCACAGGGAAGGGAGAAGGGCGGCAATTCGGAGGGGGACGAGACCACCCCCTCGCCTTTCCACCCATGACACAGAAGAATAATTCTCAGGAGTCGAACTATGGACGGTCTTTCAACATGTCTTCAACTGCTCTTCCAATGGCAGGACTTGTTGGTTCGAAGATTTTTTGTGCTCACGGTGGAATATCTGAAGATCTCGTCTCTTTCAAGCAGTTTGAAAGGCAAGTTGCACTTGTCTCGTCCTCGATAGTGTAGAGAGCAGACCAGTTTTAATATGGCTTTCTCAGGTCTATCGCCCCGACAGACATGTCTGCGATAATAGCGCTGCGTACATGTGACCTTAATAGGTACACGATCCATCATCGAGCCTGTCATGTTTGACCCAATCCACGTGGAGTCTCTCTGTAAAGCCCGAGCCTGATCATCACAGCTCGGCATCCATTTGGACACAAATTCCCACAAACAACAGTGAGCTTCAGGTTTCGGACAAACAGAGCCCGTGAAACAACTCTGGCACCAAGATCATGTCCGACCGTCATATGTCGTCTCAATCAAATGGCGTATGGAGCGGGTAACGTCGCAAAGACAGATGCGCAATCTAAAAAGAAAAAAAAAGCATTCAACGCTCGTTGCTACCTCTGGATCGCCCACGCAATTCCTGAAAATTTTCATCACCAGACCTTGGTGGCATTCGACATGCGTTTGTAGCCCAAGGACTTGCAGTGGCCAGCCCGATATACCAGCGATCCCCGGAGCGACTGCAGTGTTGCTTGGGAGCCCTACGATTCAGGATTTGATCCTGAGACCGTGCGTGTGGAAAGTGGGGCCCTTGTCACCACACTACCTCTCCCCTTACCACTAGGACAAGCGCGGAGGCGTAAAAAGGTTAAGCATTAATCACTCCCCTCCAAAATGAATCACTCAAAGATCTAGGATCGAAGACCCTGAACGTAGAGTTGCTGGCCTGGGCAGGGACTCGATCCACAGATTTTGCCGATAGTGTTTATACCGAGGGAAAGCCCGGCCCGCATCGGGTTCTGCGATTGGAACGTTGTCAGTATTTTTCAGGTACGAATTTTTCGCCGACAAAAAGTGCTTGACGCTGTTCTCGGCCCCGTGCTACTGCGGTGAGCTTGACAACCAAGCTGCAGTACTCCATGTAAGCGGGTAAGCACTGTCCAGAACTTCAAAGCTTAATTTCGTCACTGAATGTGAATAATCGCCATTTCAGACGATTAGAATGCAGAGTGCTGACCTTCAAAAGAGATACAGGAATGGCGACGGCAGAATATGCACGCACAGTTGAAACTCCTGGAACAGGCCGGCCTGGAGCTGCGGCAGGTCGATCAGAAAGCAAGACTCCAACGGGTAGTGTTCGTAAAGACGTGAAAGGTGAAAAGCTGACGGGAACGCGCTCCTCCGAATCTGCTCCAGGACCGGTCAACAAAGCAGAGAAGAAGAATGTGAGAGCGGTGACACCTCGTGCCGACAGCACTCAAACTACTCCAGGCAAAAAGACACCAAAATGAACGAAATGGCGCCAGTCTTGTCCTACTCGAACAAAAGAAACTGTACCCATAATACGGTTAAAGCAATTAAAAAGTTGCTTTAAGCGGTCTTGTTTTGCACACTGCACTACAGTAAAAGACAGTCGAAAACATTCAGCCTCTAAGGTTACTACGGCTACCCGCTAGGTTGGGCACAGTAATGTGCCGGATGGATACTAACAAAGCTCAGCGAACAAGTCTTCAGGCCGTGGTAATGCAGCTGCGATCATTGAAGAGCGCTTGAGGGCAGCCAAGGCGCAGGTGTAGTTCCAGTTCAAAGGATCTCCACGGATGGGACCGTTCGAAAAGATCGGGATATTAGCTGAGTAGATTATTCAGGTGATGGTCGGGTCAGTTTTGGTGAGCGACAGAGAGGGTGTGCCCAGACCGGGCTAGCGGTCGGCGGTTACCGGGCGACGCTCGTGGGTGCGACTGACACACCTATCAACGAGCTGACCCGAACAGGAGGTGGTTTGAAGGCAGCGCGATTATCGGCATCGGTCTGCACTTCTTTTCAATGGGGACGTTTCATTCGGTCTTGCCCGAACCAGGCCGGCACGAAAAAAATGAAAAAAGGGAAAGGATTCCGTGTCTAAAACGCCAGAGTTAAAGATCTGCTTGCATTTGGTTTCGAACAATGAGAGACTGAGGCACGGAGAAGGATATGCCGAGAGAAGTCAAACCACGAAATGAGAGCAGGGCAAACACTGCAGCCGATAAAAAGGGTGTTGTGAAGCGGCTTGGCAGGAGCTTCATTAGCACCCTCTCTTTGTGCCTCTTCAAAGCGGGAGAAAGTTGAATGATCCTCTTGTGGTGGAGGAGGAGCGTCACGGAACGGTCTGCGATCGCTGCGTGGACAGCTCTATCCCTGCGCCACGAACGATATAGAGGTCAACTCATCAGAAGCTGAGCCTTCAACCTTGCTGTGACCTTTAGGCCGTAAGAATCTTTACAAGATGCTTCAGGTTTTGTGAGAAGTTGAAGCAGGTACTGGCAGGACAATTTCCCAAAAATTGAACAGCAGCGCGATCACTACTTCCCTTGAGGGTAGCAATGTTAGGGTAGCTTGTTGCCTCTAAGAATGGGGAAATTTGAGAATATTAAACTTTCCGTATTGACCAGCCAACAACAAAACCAGCCCAAGCTCAGATTAGGATCTCGAATCCCATTCCTCGAAGTCATTCGCCTCGTACGCTTCAAACAGGTTCAAGGAGAAGGCTGAAATTTTCCTCCGCAGTGATTGACTTTCCGTCATGCCACAAGCCGTTGCGGTCGAAAATTTGGGCACATTTTCTTTTTAATAGCGGGGTCCATTCCATTCGATTTCGCGATACTACCGCTGGTATCGTGAAGAGGTGGAAAGCTGCAAGGAAAGCCTGTCCGCTTGGTGTCCCCCGTGCAGGTGGCCCGCCTACCGCCATCTCTGTAGTTCACAAATTCGAGTGAGGAGTGTGCGCGTTTCTCAAGACATATTCAGGGGCCGAATCCAAGTGTCATACTGCATATACGAAGCAAAGGACTATAAAATTTAGAAAAGATGACAAAAAATGAATATCGCGGTGTAGAAGTGGGCCAATCGTAGAGAGTCTTCATCACCCCTTCACTTTCGTCAAATGCCTCCCCATCAACACTGGCGCAAAATCTACAAGTGTTAGATAGGTCGACAAGCCAAATAAGAAGAGGCTTTATCGGCGCGAATCAGCTGGAAAGGGTCCTTTAGGGACCAAGGGTGCCCTTATGATCAATGCCGTTTCCAGCACTAGCGTCTTGCCTTCTACCATTGTAACGTACCTTTGAAGCACTCTTTCAATAAATAACACTATGTAGGTATCCTTGTTTGAGCAGAATCTGCCTTCTAGCAACCATTGATACAATCGACGTGCATTTCCCAAACTATCGTCGCTGGTAGTATTATTCATGACTCTTTGAAGTGCTGCCACTATCTGCTCCTCTTGAATCACAGACTTCCGTGCTGAAATAGGAAAAATTGTAAAGAATAGTTTATCAATCAACATCTAGAAGTTTCGAGCGACTGCGTATATGACAACCGCAGTGTAGCACAAAAGGGACGAAGAAGCGCGCTGGCTAAGAGGCGTTGTGGTGAGACCCATTCTCTGTCTCATCATTCACTCAAGGGTTAAAGACCCTAGCGTCCGCAAAAATGAAAATTGCTCACGCATCTTGGAGTCTTCCCTCCAACGCCCACCCCCCCCCCTCCCCATCCACCTAAGGCCGATGTCAGACTTTGCGAATCGCGCGATTCGCTAGCGTCCGCGGTCGCGTCGCGGCCAGTGAATCACTCAATTGGCTGGTACCGCAACGCGACCGCGGACGCTAGCGAATCGCGCGATTCGCAAAGTCTGACATCGGCCTAAGGAATGGGCTGAAGCTGAGGAAATGGGTTGTTGCAGCAAAGCTCTCCCCCCCCTCCCCCGATGTCTCCTTCTGCAATAGCGCGGAATTTCGATGAAATTCTAGGAAACGGAGGGGCCGATTAGGGGAATGAATTGTTTTATCCTTCCTACAATCATGTGGCACAGCATATAGCAAAAAGTCAACGAAGACGTATGGCTTCACTAGATGCCAATGTTCATGTATGGCCCGCGCTTGCACAGAAGGCCAGTTCATTCCCTGGATGTACTGAGAGACATTTTTGTAGCACTTTCGTTTCGTAGCCTTTTTAGCACTTTTCTGCTGCGTAGACCTTTTGGTAAAGCAGTGAAATGAACAACCCACCAAAACGATGCTGCCCGCCAGTTTCCTCGTAATGTTGCTTCAACAAGCTCTCAGAATCTCGCTCGTGGCCATTAGCAAGAAGTATGCTCGACAGTTTGACCACACCCCAGTCAGGAACATC